AAGGGTCTAGGCCCGAAACGTCAGCCTCTCTGCTCCTATGATGCTGCTTGGCCTGCTGTGTTCATCCAGCCCTGCACCTTGTTGTCTCGGATTCTCCAGCATCTGCAGTTCCTACTATCTCTGAGAAAAACTGGAATATTTTTTCGCTCAAGCCTTAAATGGCGACGTAAGATCCTCGGCCTTGGATGGCGGCTAGCTTATTTCCATGCACTTTCACATCAGTAATACACCAATGCGCCCTATTTAAATAACAATCCCAATTCTCCTCGAAACCAGCGAGAAACCAGAAGCTCGATTCTGAACAGAGCAGGTACTTGGTGACTGAGCATGTCCAATGTCTGTCCTGGCCACCCTGCCACTGCTGCTTCTGCGCAAAGTCCCTGTGTGCTCCATGGCCAGTTTCCTTCTTGACACTTTATCCATGTATATCGGCATTGGAAAACCACCAGCCTTAGCACATCATCATGCCTGTTTCAGATCAATTCACCAGTCAGTTCACACCTTCAACACTCTACTTTGGAGCAAGAGGACTTGTATGCTTCTGCTGGTTGCTTTGCATGCTGGGACACATGCATCTTATGGCTCTTAGCTTGCGTTCTTACTGCTGATTGACTTTAGCACTTATCTGAAGGCATCCAGCCTCTCTAGATGGCATTGCTTTCTTACAGCACAAGGTCTTGACTGCAGAGTTATAGGCTGCCAGAAGGAGAGGTAGACAGCTTGTCATCTTGAGGAGCACTGGCCAGTCAATGTATCAGTCAAACAAGAAGTGGATATGTAATGACGGCACCATCCAATGTCAGAGCAACGTGCATCAGCAGCTTATGAGACAAATATACTGCATGTGCTTTGAGCAAATGGCAGTGAGAAAGTCAATGGGGAAATGCACTTAGTAGGGCATAGGAAGATTACAGTTAATCAAGGGTTACTGCCATGGCGATCCTAGTCTAGTTCCAGGGTTGGCCACAGTCAGCCCTGCAGGTGACAGTCAAGTAGTTTAGGGATGGCAAGTAGATCAATAGTGATGCTATTGAGACATCAGTCCAGGTGTATTTTTAGTTTTACCGGCAATGAGTCAAAGAGAAAAATTGAGTATGATGTAAGTGGGTGCAAGATTAGTTAGTGGTCACGCATGAGCATGAGAGGTGATGAGATGGCCCAGTGATTGAGTAGGAAAGGCAGAGGGCAGTACAGGGTAGTAGTTTAGGATGATGAGGTGGATGAGAGCTCTTGAGAGGATATGATGCATGTGATACTGAGGGCTATACTTCATCAGCCTTAGTGAGATGCATGTGCAGTGGCAGAGTTAGAACAAGTTTGAGTCTGAAGTACTATGGTGGCACTTACACTAAGGAAGTGTAGAAGATCATTGACCTTACAGCACTGCTGGGCATCCCACTTTACTGAGGATCCTGCACTAATCTCTGCTGCTGCTGTTTGGGTCCAGGATGTTTTAGTGGTATGACCTACTGGGGTAGTCAGCAAAGTAAAAAACAGCTCACCTCTCCACCAACACAGGCATCAAAACCTCCAGATGTCTGTTCGTGAAATGGGATGCAAACTTGCCTTTCTGCTGAGCCACTTCTTTGGTGACTAGGGTTGAGTGTCACAGGTCAATCCTGGCTTGCAGCATCTGAAGTCATGAGCTGCTGAGCTTTAAATGTGGCTTGGGAGGCATGGAAGGCAGGAAACTTCAACACTGGTAAGAATTCCCAAGAAACATACTAAACTTCTAATCTACATAATAAATTAGGTGAAAAGCAGAAGATCACATGCGAAAATTTGTCCCTAGGTCATGGTGGAGTGGATGCCATAAAGCTCACTTGCCACCCCACTTTAACTACAAATGGGAAAATTCAGCCCCACAGGACACATGAGGCCAGAATTAAAGTATAGTCATCGCAGAAGGAAACTGCTGATTGAGGTGCAAACATTTCCATCTCAGTTCCAAAAAATTCCCTTTCTTGTGAATGACCCCTGAGGCTCAGCATTTAGGCCAAGCCAAGCAGTGTTTAGAGTGACCTTTATTCCTCTTTTGTGACTTGCCAGTGCTGGCCTGCCTCCAGCACAAGTTTCTGCTCACAATTCTAGTGCTCCACATCTTGTGACATCTTAACCAGCTCTAATTTAGGACTACCAAGATGTGTCCTTCTGGACTGGTGGAGAGAACACAGGAGTCATGTAACAGTGTAGTCTCAATCTGGTCTCTCATCATTTCCACTGTCACTGGGTGGAACCTGTGAAAGATAAAAAGTATGAGTTTGTCCATTGTTGAAAAAGCTAAAAATACAACACATCATGACAGTTCAGTTATTGTGGACATCAAATCAATATGGGTGATTGCTATGTTCAAAGTGAGGGTAATGTTACATCTAACTCAGACACCTGAATTTTGGGCTATTCTATTAGCTCACACAAATGCGTACGCTGCACTGCAAAATTCAGGGCATCTTCCTCCATCGAGGTCAGGTTAGCAATGGTTACAGGTGGACTGCTAGTTCTGTTCCTGTCCCTGAAGTCAGGGGCTGTCTTCTGCAATGATGGAAGTAAATAAGTTATGACTGTGAGAAATGGAATGAATGTCGAGGATGGAATAAGAATATTTGAGGAGGGTGTTTGTTAGGGTTGGCAGTGAGAGAACCATAGGATGAGGATGAATGAGAGTCCTATACTAGATATTTGAGGAGGCAGCAGTGTATAACTTCAAAGTGCACCTGTCAGAGGAATGCTGTACAGTGGAGTGCTGGCTGCGAGGTGGAGGTTGGGGGTGATGGCTAACGTTCAGAAAGTGATATTCACATTACTAGATCTAATTACATGATTTATTTTTCTGTAGCACTGTGTCCAAGTCCTAGCACCATACTCCCGCTGTATACAGCTTCCACTGTGTCTAGCCAAGAGATAACAAGGTGTACAGCTGGATGAACACAGCAGGCCAAGCAGCATCAGAGGAGCAGGAAGACTGACGTTTCGGGCCTAGACCCTTCTTCAGAAATGTGTCTAGCCAAATGTTTTTTTCAGGTTGGCCTTTTCCACCCATTCTCAGGAAGTAGGACTTCTCTCCTGATCCCCACAGCCTTTATCATGACCTCCAGTATCAAGTCCAGGAATCATAGTTTACTGGTTTCTTCCCAGCTAGATTTCCTGCAGCCATCCATATTCTTGCTGGGGTGTCCTTAATTACAGAACCTTCACTGACAGATCTGGAGCATGATCTTGCCCACGTTCGCCAGTTGACCAAGGAACCCAGCAGCTGAATGCTAATGTTGTGGCTATTTAATTCAACCCAACCTGATTGTGTTCCTGACTTATTTTAAATCCTGCTGTTTTTTCCATGAACTAAAGTATCAAAATGCCACTTTTTTTGAAAATTCGCACAATCTTTCAAAACCACAACACACAAATGGTCTGTAGATGCAAGGATTGCAAACAGTAAAAATAACTTAGTGACATTTTACAGGTTATTACATTTCGAATGTTGTGATTACACATGAGAAATTAATATTTGAATACTTAATACTTTATCAGCAATTCCTTTATCTGTTATTTCAATCTCAGTGTTGCTCAGTTTGGAGCATTCTTGCCTTGAAC